ATTTTTATTTCAGATTCATTCTCCCAATAGTATGCTTGGGGGTTTTTTTGTTTGTTTTTTTTTGGTGGAACCAGGGATTGAACTCAGGCCCTTGCGCTTGCCAGGCAAGTGCTTATTCCACTGAGCCATCTCCTGGGCCCTAGTATGCTTGTTTACCTTCCTCCCTCCCCTTGTTTATTGAAACTGAGATGTTCCTACTTCCAACTTCAGTTCCTGTGGGTGTCTGTCCTGAGCTGCTGCAAATGCCATTCTTTTAAAAGCACCCTCTAAACCACTAAGACAACAATATGCAATGTATTCATTATTGAAACTGTGCTAGTAATTGGTTTTGAAACTATCTCATTGCTATCTGTTTCTCAATAAAATTATTTAAAAAAAAATAAAAGCACCCTCTAGCTGGAGATATAGCTCAGTGGCATAGCGCCTGTCTGGCAAGTGCAAGGTCATGAGGAGTTTGATTTCCAGTACCAATAAATAAAATAAGTATCCTCTAGAGTTGGGTGTAGTGACACATGCCTGTAATCCCAGCACTTGGGAGGCTAAAGCAGGAGGATCCTGTCTCAGTTACTTTTCTCTCATTGGTGGGACAAAATAACTGACACCCTAAATTAAGGAAGGAAAGGTAAATTAGCTCACAGTTTGTGGTGATTTCAGTCCACACTCGGCTAGCTCCAAGGTAGAGCGGCACACAGAAGAGGGCAGCCGTTCATTGTGGTGGGAAACGGCAAAACAGCAGGAGCAGAAAGGGACAGCAGAGGCAGAGGCAGGCCTCTCTCCCTTCCTTTATACTGTGTTCCAGCTATCTGGAGGCGTAGCACTCGCACCCACAGTCCCAGCATTGGATCATGAATTAATCACAAACTTAGAGGCCTCCCCATGGTTGCATGAGGCTTTGGGGGGACAGCTAGACACAAACCATAACAGATCTCATGACTTCAGGGCCTTTCTGGGTCACACAGTTCAAGGCCAACCTGAACTGCAGAACAAAACCCTATCTCAAAAAGAAAAGAAAAAATCGCCCTTCTAGTTTGATGGGTTGCCTAATGTCTATAATCCCAGCACTTAGGAGGCTGAGGCAGGGTCGCTGTGAGTTCAAGGCCAGCCTGGCCTACATAGCAGGACTGTGTCTCAGAAAACAAGAAGGGTACCAGAGTGGCCTTGTGCAGAGAACTGATTCCCTTTAAGGTGAAATCTGTAGTCATCTTTCTGCAAGCAGAAAGCAGCGCCCTCTGTGGGCAGGGCTGTGAGGGGCTGCCCCACCCCGCCCCGCCCCACCCTGCGTGTTGTCCTGAAGGATTTGTGCTCAACTGTGTCCCCTGTACTTTCTTTGTTTCCTCCCGAAGGGCTGCCTCCAACTCCAGTTCAGCTGCTCTACCCTGTGTCCCGATTCAGCAACGTCAAATCCCTCCAGCACCTTTGCCGATTCCGGATCCGCCAGCTCGTGCGGATAGATCACATCCCAGACCTCCCACTGCCTAAGTATGACGGGTCCCGAGGGCGAAGGTGGGAGCAGGGTGTTAGAGTCCGGTGGAAACGTCCTCCTTTCGCTTGTCCAGTCTTATTGTATAGCTCTACTGGCACTAGAGCCAGAGGAAGCAGGGAGGCCAGCTCCCACAGGCCCTGTAAAGAGCTCAGGGGAAGGGCCGGCCAGATAGTTCAGCGGATTAAAGCACTTGCTTAGGCAGATGCAGGGACCAAGGGTTCGATCCCTGGCCTGCCGTGCCGGCCCCGCCCCTGGGGCACACTGGTGTTGCACGCCTGTAACCCCAGTGCTTGGGAGGCTGAAGTACAGGAGTCTGATCTGTGTAGTGAGACTCTGTACTAAATACATTTTTTAAAGAAAAGAGTTCAGGGGAGTTCTGTTCTGTACACAGATTGTATAGAAAGTACGAAACCAAAGAGGGACAAGTGTTCAAGGGCACGGCGAGGGGAGGGAGGCAGCAGGAAGAGAGCAGTCAGTAGGGTTGGCAGTCTTTGGTGTGGCTTCAGCCATGCAGGACATGCACAAGGAATGGTATTTCTCGGATATTCTGTACAGATAACGTGTTGTGTATCTCCTCTTGGTTCTCCACAGACCTCTGATCTCTTACATTCGGAAGTTCTACTACTATGACCCTCAGGAAGAGGTGTACCTTTCTCTAAAGGAAGCCCAGCTCATTTCCAAACAGAAGCAAGAGGTGGAGCCCTCCACGTAGCGAGGACCCTTGCCAGTGACCACCAAGGTAGGACCTGGGGCCTGTGTTGAGCCCCATACATGCCCCTCCAAGCCCTGTGACATCTGCTTTGGAGGCACAGAGCCTGTTTAGAAGGTAGGCAGAGGGGCCGGGGAGATGGCTCAGTAGAATAAGCGCTTCCCTGGCAAGCACAAGGGCCTGAGTTCAATCCCTGGTTCCACCAAAAAAAAGAAAAGAAAAGAAAAGGCAGGCCGACTTAATATTTGCCAAGGTGGAGGTTGAGGCAGGATCACAAGTTTGTAGCTAATTTGGGCATGTAGCAAGACCCCATCTCAAAATTATAAGAAGGCTGCCTGCTATGGTGGTTCACTATAACCAGCATTCAGGAGGCTGAGGCAGGAGGATGGCCATGGGGTCAGGGTCAGCCTGGGCTGAACAGTGAGGCCCAGTCTCAAAGGCAACAACCCAACAAGAAGTTTTAAGAGGGAAGACGGGATAGCGGTGTAGCTCTGATAGAGCGCCTCTGGGCTCAGTCCATATTACTGCCAAAAGCAAAGAACCAAGCCTTGTGCAAGCTGATCACTGGTATACGTGAGGAGAACGGGCAAGCGTGGCTAGCTGTGCGGCTCTCTCTTGTCCCTGGGATCACCCTGCTCTTAGGGGCTTACCCCTTCCCCCCCCCAACCGGGGATTGAACTCAGGTCCTTGAGCTTGCCAGGCAAGTGCTTATTCCACCGAGCTATCTCCCCGGCCCCTTCTTAGGGGCTTTTTCAGTTTATTTTATCTTTTTAAAACATTTTTATTTTTTTAAATGTATTTAATACAGGGTCTACAAGGTGTCACTACACAGATCAGACTCATCCTTCTGTGTTCCACCTCCCAAGCGCTGGGATTACAGATATGCGTCACCACGCCTAGTTTTAGTTGCCCCTCTCATTGTGCCCCAGGGTGCTGCTGGCACAGCAGGAGGACTGAACCTGGTCCCTGCACCCTGCCTAAGCAGGCGCTTTAGGGGCCGGGGAGATAGATGGCTCAGTAGAATAAGCGCTTCCTTAGCAGGGGCTTTAGTCTGCTGCGCTATCTGGCTGGCTGTATTATCTTTTGAGATAGGGTCTCACTGTGTAGCCCAGGCTGACCTCAGACTCACAGCAGTCCACCTGCCGCAGCCTCCCAAGTGCTGGAATTTGGAGTGTGCGCCACCATGCTCAGCAGTCTCCTTCCTCTTAACACAGATGGGTTTTTTTGGTGGAACCCGGGATTGAACTCAGGCACCTGCGCTTGCCAGGGAAGTGCTTATTCTACTGAGCCATCCCCCCCCCCCCCCCCGCTTCCTTGGTGACACAAATTGTATAGAAAGTGCAAAACCAAAGAGGGACAAGTGTTGAGGGGCGCGCAGATGTGCTTTGACTGCAGCAGCGTGCACTCCCGTCAGAGCGCGCCTCCTAGTGGGCGGTGACTGTCTCAGTGTGGCCTTCTCCGCCTCTAGCTTCCATTCCTGGCTTTTTCACTGCATTCTGGTTGATGGAATTTTCTGCTCTTTTCCTAGGCGTTTGGTTGTCAAGCTCGTCTGAGCTGTGGAGTTCACATGAAGAGGAGGTGGAGGAGGAAAGTGGGAACGGGAAGGGCTGGGATTCCCTCCGCCAGGCCTGGGGCTTGGAGAAAGCGCACAGCCGGCCCGGATGGGCTCCACATCACACCCACCTTGTATGCCAGACAGATGGATGGGCGGACGGACAGACAAGAAGTGCTCCTGGAAATCTGGAAGAAGTCTCAACACTGTTTCTTTTAGAAGTTTTGTTTTTGCTCTTTTGTGTTTCTCGGTATGGAAACTCCTGTTGAAGGCAGCCGGGCTTTGTGCCTGTGGGATGGGCATGGGGAGGGCATGCAGTTCTGAGGGCAAGAGGCTGGGGTGGGAGGCAGGGAGCAGGACTGAGGGCATGCCCGCACAAGGGTGGAGCTGGTGGAGTAGGCTGGAGGAAGGAGCGCCACCCTGTTCTTGTCTTCAAGGCCTCGAACCCTCATTTGAGAGTCACCTTCATGGAAGCTGTGTTATTTTGCTCTGGAACCTGAACTGAGCTATTCTCCCGCCACCCTGAAGTGGTTCCCTCAAGGTGTCGGCTGCAGCGGTCCTGTCGCCACATGGGTGCTTTCCCATGCTCTGACCTGGCATGTCCGGAGGCCCTGTGCCCTCCTGCATTTGCCAGCCAGAGAGAACGAGGCCCGGAGAGGGGGAGGCCGAGCTCTGCCTTTCTGGGCCCATGAGGTCCCAGCCTTGCGGGGTCCTTGAGTACAGCAGAAGAGGGCAGCCCAGTTCCTGCTTCAGGGTCCTCACGGGCCCCCTTGCTGCTGGGAGATGGCAAGGGCTACGTCATTTCCCTGCCTCCTGCCAGCCCACACCTTGCCAGACCGTCTGCTGCCCTCGCTCTGCCCGAGTCTGGAAGGTCCCCAGGAAGAGGCAGGGTGCTCAGAGCCTCTCGGTGCGCGTGCTGGAGGAGGCTTGCTGCCGCCCTTGTTAGTCTGCTACACGGTTGCTCCTGGACTGCGTCATCCCGAAGGGTCAGTGACATCCTCGGTCTGGGGAGAGGACTCCTCACCAGGAAGCACTGGCCTCACGCAGAGCGCTGAGCAGAGGTCCCTGGCCACGGGCACCAGCGCAGAACCGGCTTTGCAGCAGCAGAGTGCACTTCCTGTGGTGCTCAACCCTCCTAGGACCAACCACGTGACCCCAGAAAGGTCCTTCTAGTCTGCAGAAGGTGCCACCTGCTGTAGTGCTGCCCGGCTGCAATGGGGCCTTTGGGCTGGGCAACCGTCTGGGACCCCACAGTCAGCCACCCATAAGTTTAATAAGAGCAGGCTGTACGCATGGCTCTGGGGTGGACGCGGTGGGCTCCGCCAGGTGGAAGACATGGTTGCCTCCTGAGGGAACCTTCAGAGTATGCGCAAAGTCACTGGAGAGCGCTGTGGCAGAGAAGCGGGGACTGTTGACATTCAGAGTGGGCAAGATGGGAGACCAGATGGTCTGGAAGAGCCGTGGTGATGAGGCTTGGGTGTGGGCCGCGCAGCCTGTGGAGAAGGGCAGGACTTGAGCCAGGCAGCTCCAGGCGGCGCCTGGGCCCTGCGCAGTCCTGACCCGCACTGAAGTCCGGTTCCCAGGCAGGCAGAGGCCACGGCTCACGGGGTGGGCGGTGGGAGGTGAGGTCGGCACCTCTGCTCCACTCTTTGGAGTGAGGTCCGCCCTGTGGGCCTTTGGCCTGCTCTGTGCCCCGGGGGAGGGTGCTGATCGATAGCTGCTGGAGCCTTTCTCAGAGTGACGAGGGTGGGCTGCAGCCATAGGTGGCATGGATGGCATGTGATTGGCGGGGTGAGGGGCAGGGGTGGGCGGGCTGCAGTGTGGTCCTCGTGCTGTGGGTGGTGCTGGTGAGTGCCGCCTCGCTGCATGTGCCAACAAGAGGACTGTGCGGTGGTGTCCACTACTGCGATCTGCTGTTACTTGAAATGTGGTTCCTGGTGAGGAGTGTAGGAGGGCAGGGGCTTGGATGTTAGGGACCACGTAGTGGGTGACAGCTGGCCTTTGAAAGAGGGGGCCACCCACTCCTGTGGATAGAACCTGAATTCCTGCTCCTCCCTTCCGCACTCTCGGGCCACTGGGGCAATTGCATGTGGCGTGGGGTGCCACACGGGGAGGGGGCGGGGCCTTGGGAGCTGCAAGAGCCTGAAGTGCCGTGGGGGTGCGATCCCCAGAGCGAGGGGCCGGGTTGTGGCCCTGTGGCTGCCAAAGGAGGTGCGTGGCGTCTCCATTTGCGGAAGTTCTGCTGCCAGTCGGGGTCCCAGGGGAGCCTGGTTCGTTGCTAGTGTTGAGTGCAGTGCCCCTGCGCCTAGGGGAGGAGCTTTTGAGTTAGACTTTTTCCCTATGGGAATCCTTTTGGTTTGGTTTGTGGGAAGGGGGAATGGATAGGTGGTTTTGATCTCTAATTGTCCACGCAGCTGTCCTTACACTGAATTGTGCTATTGCATACATGTAGCCATCTTTCTTTTCACTGCAGCAGTGTTTATCAGTAGTTCAGATGATTTATTTGCTCCTGGGGAGTAAAATCTTTTATATTAAAAAAAAAAGAAAAAGAAAAAAAAAAGAAGTGTCCCCATTATGATAGCTGTAGGATTATGGGGCCACCAGGTCAAGTCTGCAAGTCCCGTGATAAGTCCTGCTTTGACATTGGAAGCTTTGTGCTTGGCACAGAGACAGGGAGTCCTGGGAGGCTGCGGCCAGGTCAGACTCGGGCTGGGGGCTGGGCTCGGAGTGAGTTGGGGTTAAAACACCGACTCATCCTCCCGAGAAGAACCTTGATTTACCTGCAGATCCTCACCTTCCCCTTTTCTTTGCTTCTTGGCTTCCCCAGCAGGTGTCACCTGGTTTCTTCTGTCCCTCTCCCTGTCCCCTCTGCACCCCTTTTCCCCCACTGCATCTACCTCCCAGAAGCCAGTCCTGCATGCTGAATCTGTTCCCTGCCTCCTCGTTCATCCCAGTGGGTTTTGGGGGACTTGGAAGTGCCCCAGCCAAGAAGCATCAGGCGGGCGGAAGATGCAAACAGGAGGTTGCAGCTGGACTGCGATCGCGGCTGCTCCTGGAGACAGTGCGAGGACAGGAACTGTCACACGGAGCTGTGGTCCTCTCCCTGACGCATGCTGCGCAGTCAGGGATGTGGACTTGTCTGTCCCAGGTGCTCCCTCAAGGGACAGGCAGGACCAGAGCGCCGTCGCCGCTGCTGAGTTCTGGTTGTTCATAAGGACTTCAAGGAAGGGGGGGTGTCATCCTGGGGTCACCAACTCTGCTGGGAAGGGGCATTCCTGCCACCACTGGGGCCTTTCCAGCCACCTGTCCTCCAAGCCAAAGCGGGGCCTGGATTTGTCTTCCCGTCTAGTTGTCCTCCTCCTCCCTTTTTTGTGCTTAATTTATTAAAATAGTTGCTGTATAATTTATTTTCATAAACTATAAAAAATGACTAAATGGTTAAAATAGACTTGCAGGCCAATCTTAAATAAGGTGGGAAGGTCCGAGGGTGCGAGGGAAAGATGTTTTGATATAAACAAGACAAATGCACTTTGGGTGTGTTGGTATTTTTCTGGGGGTAGAGGGGTGTTGGGCGGGGTCCCTGTAGATTAGCTTCAGAGAGGGTGTCTGTACATACTGTATCCATAGGCATGTTTGACTCTCACAAGGGACGTTAGTAACTGCTGCAGGTCCTGTTTGGAAACCCCATGTACAATTCCCGGTTTTTGTAAGTCGGTGCGGGAGACATTTGACTCTTGTGTTTGTATCTCCTTTTTATGATTGCTGTACCGACCCATGTCTTTTTTGGGGAGAGGTGAAAAGAGATTTGAAATAAAAATGTTTAGAAATTACGTTCTGTTGCTTGGGTTTGTGCTTTCCCATCTCGCTCCCATCTCAGGCTTGTGCACCGATGCCAGGCCAAATGAAATCACCCAGCCTGTCCACCCTCTACCCTGAAGCCACCTGCGTGACCTGTATCCCGTGACTTGCAGCTTCAGTGCTTACTCTGTCCCAAAGGCTCTTCATGTCATTTGTAGTAGAGTGACAACCAAAAGCACAGAGCGAAGGACGGTGTGGAGGACCCAAAGATCCTCTCCAGCCCGTGTGTGAGCCCCCGGTGGAAGAGGTCACAAGCGAGCTTCCTGTCTGCCAGGGTCCTCTGGCCTCAGTGCACTTGTGCCCTGTGGAGTCAGAACGGGCTGCTCTGCCCTGGTGCTCCCTGCAGGTGCAGAGCACTGGCCGTACCGTGTCCTTGCTTCCTGGGGGGCACTTCCAAGGGATCTTTCTCTCTTTTCTTTTTCTTTTTTCCTTTTTTTTTTTTTTTTGGTGTGTGTGTATGACAGGATCTCACTATGCAGTTTGGACTGAGTCCAGACTAGTCTTGAATTTGCGGAACTTTCCTGCCAGGTACTGGGCTGACAGACGTGAGGCACCACGCCTGGCTGGGCCGTGTGCTTAGCCAGATAAGTCAGTAGCTCCCCACTCCAGGGCCTGGGGCCTGAGGTGAAGCTGTGCCCTTGTCATGCCCTTAGGAGCTCAGCCCAGCCTCTCCCAAGCGTCTCCCCCTCCCCAAGTGACTGGGTCCCTTCCTTTGCCCCCGCCTTCCCTTGGGCTGCTCCTCTGCCTGCCAGTCTCACGGGCGGACAGTGGGCGGCTCCTCCAAGCCCTGTCCCAGCCTTACTAGCTTGTAGCATTGTTTATTTCTGGCCAAGCAAATGGCTCTCGCCTCTGAGAAGCCTCTCCCTCCTGCCTTTGCCTGTCAGGCCTGGTGACCTCTGTGAGGACAGCGCCTGTGTCCTGCTCATCTCTGTCCTCCCTGCAGGCTGGCACAACTGAAGAGATATGCCCAGACATGTTGACAAGCGCCATGCCTGTGCCTTCCCCAGGAATGTGGCTTCCTCCCCTCAGCCCTTGGCCTGGGCTCTCCATCCTCTGGGAATCGGAGGAGGAGTCTTATTTTCATGATATTGGGATTAAGCTGAGTGTCTACCCTTCCCACCGAACTACATCTCCAATTCCTGCCTCTTATTTTTTTATTTCTCAAGACAGGGTTTCACTTAGTTCAGACTGATCTTGAGCTCCCAATGATTCTCCAGCCTCAGCCTCCCAACTGCTGGGCTAAATTTTGAGACCAGGCCACTGGGGAGTCGCGTGAAGCCTGGAAGGAGGCCGGAGGTGCTGGTATGGCTTCCAGCGGGGTCCCGGTGGGCACTGCCAGCTCGGCAAACGAAACCCCCGAAATTCCGGACAACGTGGGAGACTGGCTGCGGGGGTCTACCGCTTTGCCACCGATAGGAATGACTTTCGGAGGAACTTGATCCTCAATTTGGGACTCTTCGCCGCAGGAGTTTGGCTGGCCAGGAACTTGAGTGACATTGATCTAATGGCACCTCAGCCAGGAGTGTAGCCGTATAGGCCAGTGAAATTCCTACACTGTAGCCAAACCTCCAAAATGAGGGTCTCCAGTCTGTGACCAGCACGAGATACACTGAGGGCAGCTGAAGCTGACTCACGGGGGCCCTTCCTCTTCTCTTCCCTCCTCAGACTGCGTTCTCTGCGTAGCAGCTGGCCACAGCTAGTGTCGCCTCTGTTCTGTAAAGTTCTGTACACAGCCTGTTTCTGTAGGGGGCAGTGATTGCTGTATCCTAAGGAGCACTAATGGTGCTTTGACAAATATTTGAAATAAAGACTGTACACAAAGACAGAAAGAAAAAAAAAATTGAGACCAGGTCAGGCCACATCACTAAGTCGCTAAGGTTAGGCTCACTCTTCCAATCCTCTTGCCTCGGCCTCCCACAGTGCCGGGTCACAGACGTGCTCCCGATCGCCGAACTGCCCTCAGGTGTGAACAGGGAGCTGACTGTGTAAAACGCCGCCCTGTGCATTTCCAGCACTCACAGAACAGCCACAAGTGCTTGATCCCGACCAGTTTTGCCATTAGTTGGGTTTAAGGGGACCGAATACTTTCCTCCTCAGGGTGGGGGGAAGGAGGACCCCGAGCCCCACCACAGGCTGCACAGGGAGGAGGCTCTTCGCCTGCGGCGGCCCTGGGGCTAGCGCTGCGGGGGCAGAGCTAGGCAAATCCTTGGTGCTCTCCTGCCACCTAGTGGCCCCTGTGGGTCAGGCCACGCAGCCGACCTTGCTGGTTCCAGAGCCGAGCGCCCCGCTGGGTTTAAATTAATGCAAACAGTATGGCCATTCCCTCGCCACAGCCACTTCACCCCGCCCTTGGGACCTCTAGTGAGCCCTCGGACCACACCTGGCTCAGGTGTGCGGACCAGACCCCTTTCCCGGTGGCGGGCGAATGGGAAGCCTTTGTTCTCCTCAGGCTCCCAAGGGCTGGTGGCTGCCACACTCCTGCCCTTCCCGCCTCCGGCCCCGCCCCACTGGTTTGACAGCTCCGAGGGAGGTGTAGGGCGTGGCCTGGGCTTCTACTCAATCCCATAAACACAGACTCCTCTGGGCAGGGCTGGCCCAGGATCCCCCGAAGTGCCTCCTGCCTTCTCCTGAGGTTTTGCCCTTGGGATCCAGGAGAGGAGAAGCAGCTTGGGCTGGAAAAAGGGAAGGGCAGGGAGGCAGCTTGCCTGGGTCTCTCAGCCCCGGGGCACCCACAAGAGGAAGCTGCAGGATATCACACGCTGCATGCACATGCCTGTCCTGGGTGTGGCTGTGACCAGGGTGGAGGGGCTGACCTGGGCAAGGAGCCCCACACTGGGCTATGAGGCCAGGGTCAGGCTCCACGGCCACATGTCCACTCTGCTGCCCACCAGTCCCCACCCTTGAGTGGCAGCCTAGCCACAGC